AGCAGGAAAATTTGTTCTAATGTTCTGAACTTGCAAGATTGCATAGAACGAGCTAGAAGTGATTTTAACTCTTCTTTCCATCTTATTAATATTTTTTAACCTTACACACTACCAAAGACACCTGGGTTTTGGAAAGATAATTCAACCAACACTGAATCCTCAGAGAGCACACCCACATGAAGACGCTTCTAAGGTGACCAACGCGAAGACCTTATTGCTATTTGTTTAAGCACGCACTGCATGCAATTTTTAAGTTAAAAAAAAAAAAAAACACCACCACCACCACTCATTTTTGTTAATAACATCCAAAAGGTAAATTTTGACTCAAAAATATATGTATATATTTGTATCACATATACTGTTTTGATATAGCAGCAGTAGAATTTTTCCTATATTTCAGCCAGCTTCCAAGGAGCAGCCCCTTCTTGCCTCAACCGCTCAGCGCTTTCTGTCTGGTCCTGGCTACCTACAGTTACAGGAGACAATCTGGCAGGCTGGAGGGCTAGGAAGCGCTGGGCCACAGAGCAGCACCGCACCTCCTTCCTTTGCTAAACTTTTCTAGAGGCACAAACATTTGTTAGGACATGCCCTTGGGAAGCAGCTCATTTATCTTGATACTCAACAAAATTAGATGTGAGGAACCAGTCTCAACGTACCACCGAAAACAATTTGAGTCTACAGTTTGCATCTAAAACTTTTGAAATTATAGACTGCTTATAAATATGCATGTAGTATTTAAAGTTTCAAAGTAGTTTTCTGTCATCTTTGAGTGCTCTAAAGTATGCTATTTATTATTTCATATTGTACATTTTCTCTTGCTCTGTTCGAACAACGGAGAAAAACATGATGTATTGTTAAAAGCATTAATTATAAATTTGCAGCTTGTGCTGATTAGAAAAGAATGGTATATTAACAGGCTCTATGGAGAACTTAGATCAAACTCTAGCATCTCCAGCTTTTGAAAATGTATTGTAAAAGTTCTTTTCCTCTCCCTTCCCATTATGTAATTATTTTAAAAGCCTTATCGAAAAGAAATAAAGAGATTTCAACAGCTGTTTGTATGTCAGAAGATACAAAACGAGGAAAGGAACATAAAACCTTGATCCCCATGCAGGACACTGCTTAACAAGAGCAGCAAAACACTTCAATATAGTGATGTTTTAGAATTAAAAAGCTTTCAGAGTGAATTTCAGAAATCTGAAAAGTTAAAGTCTGTTTTCAATGAGCAATGCCAACTGTTCATTCTAACTTTCTACACAAATCAATTATATCAATTACTGAGAATCCATAATTAGATGAATATACACACACAACACAAGAAAACTTCAAAACTTGGAAAATATTTCATGGGCTGATGGAACTTCTTCAACAATTTAATGACTGATAAAACACACCAGGATTGTTTTAAATTGGGAACTGGCTAGAAGAAAAGCAACTAAGAAAGTCTGTAATTAAGAACTTTTAAGATGAAGCTAGTTTGAAATCTGCAAGTAATAAAAACTTCCAAAAGCTTAGTTAGTCTCTTGGAAGTATGATGCAATATCCGTTTAACATTAATCACACCAGAGAGGCAATTCTATGTAAAAGCGTTCCCCTTATTACCAATAAGGTTCCTTTCACAGACCGAAAAGCGGTCTCAGAGGTAGGCAGTAAAAAATATTATCAAAGTTCTGTTTATTCTGGTTCTAGTTAAGAAAATTACTTATTTGTTATATATATACACACTCCAAGGGCTTTGAATTTAATTGGTATATGAATGGATTTTTGAGGGGGTTTTAAAAAGAGTGAAAGGAGCCTTCAGTTGGTGTAACATCTGCTAACAAGACTGTGCTAGAGATGCAGCCATGGGTGTGCCTCCAGAGACATATATCTAACTTGGGTAATAAACAAGAGATATTTGGGGAAAAATTAAATATTCGTTTTATTAAATTTTTTTTTTTTGGTGCAAGAATACCGATTTGGAGTCACATAGATACACACAGGAACACAAGGCCTTTTAACGACGTTCTAGGATAAGCTGCTCACACAATTAACCATATTGTTCAGGAATTTAAAAGCTTAGCTGCCAAAGTAAGGTATAGTATTTCTCAAACGCATTACATCAGACATTTGTTTAGTGAAACTTAAAATGAGATAAATGACTCGATTAACTATCATTTTAAGAAGGAAAAACAATGTTTGGAAAAAAAGACCATTTTCTTAGACTGTGGTGCATGTACAACAGATCCTTTTAAGGCACAGTGATACTTAAAAGCAAAAAAAAATTTCAGATTTAAAGAATATGGCTCATTTACTGATCTCGACCACATTCTTTTTTGTGGTAAATGTTTACAGTAATGTCAAAAGAAACCATTTGGTATAATTAGACTCTCCGGTAGTTGTTTAAATCCATTCTAGTCTTTATTTTTGCTAGAATAGCAAAAATAATCTTATGTTTGAACCTTATGCATATTAAACATAGAACGGACACCAGTGTTGCGCAGATAAAGGTCTTTTTACATCATCAGCTGCTGTGTACTGAGTTTGTTACAAATTCCTAAGCACAGCTTGCAAATGCTCCCAAAATGACACAACCTTTGTAGCAAAAATAAAAGAAAAAACACACACACAGACTTAAAAACCACTCTTAAATCTGGAAAGTGCTATATGCAAGTTTCCACTCCATGCAGAGACGAGAATTTGTGCCCAGATGTGGCATGTTTGGAATACAGCATCCTACTGTGGTAAGGAAAATGGCAACCATCACGGAAACCAGTCAGGAAAGTCCGGCTCATCGTCACATGCCTAGTGAAGCTCAATATTGGAATATTTGCAAAAGAATAAGATTCAGTAGAAATAGTCACTATTTTGTGGTTATAAATATTTAAAAGTTCTACCACAATCAGGCTAGGTACCTAGCTATCATTCCAAATTTCTACCTTCCCCAACACCACTTTTGATCACAGAATTGATCATATAAATTTTTTTTTCCCTGAAAACAAAATAAAAGGGAAGCTTGCTATAAGTCACCACCATATCAAATTATAGTTGACCAGCCTTCCCTGACTTTCATTAACGCATCCTATGATTGAACTTGCAATTGAAAAAGCTGATGCCATGAAACACTCATATTTGGTAGATATTAATAATGGCAAGTCCCAAAGTATAATGTTCACTTGCACTTCTTATGAGGAAAAAAAGTTTTGAAATAAACATGTGTGCAACGGAATTTAAAAAAATAGTTTAAGAAATTTCCATTTCTTGCCATCACGCATCACACTAGAATGCAAAGAAAAGGGCATAGTTAATTTTGAGCTGACATGAAGGTTTAAATGATGAGGTAATGATAACTGCTTAAAGTTTCACCCTATTTTGTTTTGTTATCAAAAACAATTATTTCACAGTCACTCTCTGCATACAGTTAATTATCTTCATGCTTAGAAATTCAAATCTTCCCCTTCAAATCATAGCTCTTCAAAATAAAACAGTCCTAGTCCTCCTCATATCTACATGCACGGAAACTATTTTTGACTTTGTCAGTCCAGCATTTTTCTAGCTCTAATCTATGATTTTTGGCATGGGGTAACCTGAACTCTATCAGTATTCAAAATTAATCAGATCACAGCATATTTTCTGGCTTGCTTTCAATTCCTCTGCCATATTTCCTTCACTTTGTTTGCCCTTTTGATTTAGCATTGGGCTGACAGCCTCAGAGAACAAAGGACCCTTCCAAACTATAATAGCTAACTAAGAAATCACCACTGATTTCTTCTTCTTTTTTTTTTTATTATTTGTACACTTAGGGTTTTTGTCTTTCTTATATATGCGCACTACTCCGCATTTACCAGATATTGGAAACGTAGATGCTTTTTTATTGTTACATGGTATTGTTATCTCCTTTTCTAACTCTTTTAAAGTCAGTTTCCATTTGTGCAATTAGTATAAATCCCTACAGGACTCCACTGATATACCCTCTCCATTATAAAAAAAATGGATCATTTAGTCCCATCTTTTATTTCCTACCCTTCAACTAACTGATTCAGAAAGACTATAACACATTGGAAAAATAGTCTGGAACAATGAAAAGGCAGGGAACAGAAATAAGACTGATAAGAAGTCTAAAAATCATATAAGGAAAGATTAAAGAAATAATATTTTAATCTGCAGAAGAAAAGGTAAAAGGTAGTACGATAATGTTCAATTAGGTAGAAAGTAGTTGCACAGAGCAAGGGAATAAGTCATTTTCCATATATTTTTGGCACAGAACAAAAGAAATATTTCACTTAAATTGCTACAAGGGAGATGCCCATTAGACATTTGAAGAAAAGCCTTAATGGCAGGAAATGTTGAGTATAGACGAGATCACCTTGGGAAATTGTGGCGATATTCAACAGCAAGTTAAACAAGTGTCTGTCAGGAATGATTTGTGCAGCCGATCCTGCCTTTGGGAAGCAGGATGGAACAGGTAACCTCCCAAGGTCTTTTGAACAATATCGTCAAAAACAAGTGATCTCCATTTTTTGTCTGACTACAGGCAATTAATGTGGCTTTTCAGCACCTGACTAGATCACAATTGTAGTAGACCTATCATATAATATTCCTACGGAAAGGAGGCCAAATTACAGACAAGCCATTGGTCACTTACTTGATTTCATTGACAGGTACTTTCCTCTGTGCCAGTTGTTCCACCATGCCTTTTTCTTCTGAAGGAAGCAATACTAACAAAGCTTCACCACCTTCTTTGTATCTGATCAGACACAACAAAAAACAAAACAAAAGAGGCTCTAAGTAAACATACAAAAATACACATTTTTGTCACAGTTCTCAATAACCAGTGAGAAATTGAGTGCTTATAAGAAAACAAATATAATTAGCAGACAACAATCCTCACTTAACAAAGGGAAAAGGAGGCAAATCATTTAAGTGATCTGTCAACACCACCGCTTGAGCTAGTATCAAAACTATATACAGAACCTTAACTATCCGGAGCTAAGACAGGGATTCAGATCAGCTGCTCTTATTCTTCTCTGCATTAAAAACATTTCTGTGGTAATCCAAGGGCACTTAATCAAAACTTACAATACCAGCAGATCTAGTTAACTGTATTCACTCTTCATCAAAAGGCAACTCTTCTTAACACTTGGCTACCACTGGTTCTCATTTGCACATCCTCCAACTGAAAGGAGGTAAAGGCTAGGAAAGGATTAAATGCCTTCATCCCAAATAATTTCTACTTGTATCTCAAAAAAAGCCTAGTGGTCTAACCAGTCACAAAGGCATCACTGAAAGAAAAAAACCATAAAAACAGCAGTTCTTCCATCTAGGTGCAAAAGAAAAAATACAAACAGATCAATTCCATGAACGCCATACCTGGCATTCTCTCATTAATGTTTTTAACAGATGCATCAAACGTAACTGAGTTGACAGTTACTCAGATTTAGGGTTGGTAAAAAAATAAGAATTCTTCTATTTTGTTCTTAAACCATCTTATTGAAGTAACCTCCTTCTTGAGGTAACAAAGTGTCACTTCCTACTTTTGGTGAACTTAGTAAATTGAAGAAGCTCACGGAGAACAAATTACTCAATAGTGTTGGTAAACAAACAGTAAATCCTACTATAGAAGTAGTACAGTGATGGATTAGCTGATCTGCATTAGATCTAAGTCCACATTTATTGCAACAGGTATATTCATTCTTCTTTATATGCTTAAGAATAGTCCTTTAGAGCTAATAAGAAGTTAACAGCTTACTAGGAAGATACTGCATAGAGTCCTCACGTATAAAAAACAACAAGTCATTTAATTTCAGAAACGTGCCAAAATGGAGCAGAACCCAACACAGCTGAGGAGAGTAACTTGTGGGACAAAGCAAAATAAGACAGAAAACAGTCATCCTGCAGAGCAACAATAAACTAACAAAGTTACTCTCAGGATCCCTGGGAGGAGCAGACTGTAATACATGAACTGCTAGGACTATGAATAGTGCATTTATTTGAAACAAATTACTCATTATATTATTTTTTCAAGTGCTATTTTATATCAAATCATTTGCTACCTTAACATGCCTTTGGTTTTGTTCCTACTCCGGTCATGCTTTCCTTTTTCTTCTATGCCGGCAAAACTTTTCATCTATTTTAAACATATCTGAGTATCCTTTTTGTTTTCTGTAAGGTAATTACTGTTCACTCTATCTTTATTCTACTCTTAATCTGTTTATCTGTTTCTGTATCAACACCTCTCCCTCTTCTGTCCATCACTAATCCATTCTTTTCTTGCCATTCTGCAAGTCTTTGGTTTCTCTTACTCCATCACATCTTTCTGGCTGGATCTGTGCTCCAATTGCATTAACTCTTCTCCATCAAGAGAAACATCAAGGAAAGGAGAGCTTTATAAAAGGTATGAAGTTTCAGCGGGAAGATAGGAGATGTTATTACTTTGTCTTTGGGTTAGAAACCACATAGAGAATAAGATTGGTCCAAGTTAGGTCACATATATAGGGTTCTTTCCAATAAAAACTCAGCAGTGATAGAAGAAAACACCAGTGCCTCTTTGTGGATGGAGAAGGGGATAGAAATGCTATTTAAGGAAGTGTTGGAGCCAGGGCTCCTTGACTTAAGATAGCTTTAAGTGCAAGGCCAGACAGTATGGAAGGATATCCTCAGGCACGCTAGATGAGAATTGTATCACTAACTGATAAAAAAACCATTTGAGATGGAATGTAGGGACACCACATTTCTCCAAGTAAAAACAGCTATCACTTGGCAAAAACTGTACTGCAAAACTGTTTGAAAACTACAAGCACTATCTGGCACAGTGTAGTAAGCAATGCAAGTAGCCACAAAATCTGCAGTAAAAACAGTCTGACAGTTTTCATTACAGCTCTCTGCTTTCATTTGATGAATTTGCCAAACACAATAAAATGTTCCTGGGTATACTGGTTTGCAGATTGTTTTCTAAAGATAATTCCAGGGAAAAAAAAAATCCCTTTTTTTAATCCTTATAAATGTTTTTCATCCTGAAATTTTAACACTGACATTCTAGAATCTGACAGGGAAATCAAATTGACACAAGAGAAGAGCCTCTGTCACACACCAACATCATGAAAATTTAGAGTGTTTGGTAAGAGTGAGAAGAAACAAATGCTAAGACATTTGGACTCTGCCCAAAAGTGTTATTTAGGTCTAGGAGTTTGAGGTACTGTACAAAAACTAATGTGTAATATATTAACTTGAGTTTAATCCCTTTAATTAGTAGGTCTAAAACACTATCGATGTAGAAATATCACCCTGCAGGATCATTCTGAAAAAGTTCTAAAGCAACCCATACGTTTGGGGTGAGGCAATTTATTATCTTCAGTAACACGGTAAGGGACCACAAGTCAGTGCTGACAAAACAGTCACTGACTGTTTGGGTCCCTTACACAGTAATTAAGGTTGGACTATCTATTTCATATAGACCAAGTCCACACTTCAAAACAGCTCTATATATTTTAACCACAGCCAAATTCAAAATGGTATTTCAATAAAAGTAGGTGCATGTCACACACTGCACTGTTTGAAGAGGCAATGGAATCCTGGAAAACAATTGAACCAAGGAGGACTTTGAATTTTATGGCAAAAAACTGATGGGCACAGCTCCAGGGCAGATAATTATTCATCAAATGAACTTGAACTCCCAATGAACTGTTGGAAATACGGAAGAAAATATTCTCTTATCTACCCAAAGCTTGTATCAGACAGGGGAACAGAGATGGTATTGCTGCGAGTAACAGTGTCTTCAGTTCTTTCTATCGAATAACATATACAGTTTTGTTCTTTTCTTCAAAATAGATGCTATAGGAGGAAATAATTCAGAAAAGGTCTATGAGAATAATCTGCTATCTGGAAAAAATGTTTGTTTAGTTTCTCAGTAAGAATCTTCCCCATTTATCAAGATAAAAAAAAGATCTCAATCACATCCCATGAACATCTACAAAGGATGATCTTTGTAGGTTCGTTAAATGTAGTCAAAGTTAGGAAGTGGCTCACACAGGTTTGTTGCTTCCAGCATTTAGTATCTTTGAGCGCTTGACTTAGCATTCCTAAACCACTGCTTTAACGTATTTCTTGTGTTCTCTGTGAAACATATTATAAAAGATACACATTTGTGCTATACAAATCATGGAAAAAAATACCCATCGAGGGCTGACGGAACGCTGCAGTGATGTACAATGACAATTCCCACAGCATATTAGACTATGATTTTTCCTCAGTATCCACTAGGCCACTCAAAACACCATACAGATCAGATGAACCTTTCATTTGACTAGTGAAAGGTACTCTTGTGCTATTAGTGCTAGATACATTTTGTGCCGAGTCAGACATCTTTTCATCAGTTCGCGACGTGTAATTCTGAAGGCACGTTCCATAGATGATTCAAAAAAGAAAGCATTAAACCTGGTATGTATGGAGAGTAGCTATTTCAAAGCTTACATTCAATCTTACAAAGCCTTTATGCAGAGAGAAGAGTACAATGGCTAAAGGAAAACAATCACAATAAAATAAAGAACAGAGAGAGATATACAGACCTTTCTCATCTTTTGGCAACTACTAAGGAAAAAAAGCAACATTAAAAATATTCCTTAGAGTTGATGCATTCAGAAATTCAAAGAGACAGAAAGACATTTGATAACTATCAAAGCAGTTCAAGCATTCTCCTTAGATATTCTGAAATCATTCACTCATTTAAATGTCAATATTTTAAATGCACTTAAATTAAACTGAATAGAAAAGGAAGAAGAACAGTAAGTTGCCTTGGTGGTTTGACTGAAACAACAAATGTGATTTAATTAAGTGTGAAAACCACTGGTTTAATATTAATGCTGTTCTTCAGAGCTAAAAACAAAAATGAAATCATTACTGATCTGAGTAAGCTGAAAAACAAGTTATCTTAAGCACCATCTGGAAAGGTTTGTATCTACTTAGCCTCTCCCATGGGTATTTAGTTACAGAGAGGAAAATGTAAGCCTATAAAACAGGAGTTTTACTTGGGCAAAGTTTTATCATACTTCTCAAAATGAAATGAATAATCTAGTAACAAATGTGCTAATAAGAAAGCTATGGTCTTAAAAAGACAACCTGCAAAAAAAAGGGGTGTTTCTTGCCATGGAAAGCCTCCTAATTTCCCAAAGAAGTGTTTTCCCTCTGCCTTTCATAGTAAAAACTGCTATTATTTGCAAACTCACAACACAAGCCTCTGAAAAGTGTCATAAAAAGAAAAGAACACTTAACTGTTTGCTCAAAATTTCATTTCTATTACAATGCCTAAAATATAGGAGAAAAAAAAAATCCTTCCATCTCCTAAAGGAAAAAAGTTCTCTGCTAAAGGCAAAAAAAAAGGACATTCCTGTAATTTTTTTTTTCTCCAAGAGACACAAATAAAACCTTTACACCTTTAAATATTATAAAACAGCAAAGAGTCAACCACAGCTACGAAATTTCTTCTGTGGAAGGACTATGTCTTTCTGCAGAAGAGAAGAAGCCAGAAGTTCTCCTCGTTCTTGCTGACTGCAGCCTTCAAATTGTCAACAAAAGGGAACATTTATGTTAAAAGCACATGTATTCATATACTTCTAGTTCATACCTGTCCCATTTATTTATTCAAGACACAGGCTTCAGCGTTTACCAAAAAGGCAAGTAATTTTTCTGCAATCCACTTTTGACTCACAAGAAAGGAAGCAGTGACAAAACATCATTAGCACTACAAAACAA